GCGTTCTCGACACTCATGACCCAAGACATGGCATATGGCGAGTCATAGCTGAATGCGTTGCTCACAATTTCTCTCGTGGAAATGATCCAGTCTCGCAACTCATGCGGTGCAGGCTCTTTTTCGAGCTCAATGTTAGCGCACTTGTTCGCCTCGGACGGCAACGAGGTTAAGGGTGGTCGAGTAGCCTGTCCAAAAACGTGAGGAGGTAAAACGCCATCTCGGCCAATGGATATGGCACATAGAGAGCAACTCCCGGATGATGGCGGGCAGCACGCGGCACATAATGAAGTGCGGCACAACGAACATGTTTGGAAGCATGGGGGCGTCCCGGGAATGCTGGTCTTGACATTGATGTTGCATCGAGGGCAGACCCTCTCCTCAGCGGAGGATCGGCGGAGATCGGGAGCTCCAATACCGCCGACACCACTGGCGCCATGCACACCCTTATCGAGTCCTGGTGGAAGAGAGAAGCCATTCGAACCGCCAGAGTTATTCTGTGCTCCCTGGTGATGCTGTGAATTCTGCTGATTTGTCACAGCAGCGTCAGATCCATATCTCCCGCGAATGATTCCCTGAGATGTTCCATGCTCGACCTGACCGGTGAAAACCCCCCCCGTAGGGGAACACCCAGGATATGTGTTGATGGTCCCCCTCGGAACTGCTCGTCCGACTACGGGCGAAGACATTGCCCTTGGTGGCATTGGCCCGGCAGCTCCGACGTTGGAACAGAAACCAGAATTCCCTTGGTGCGGTTCAGGACTCCGATGTGACGGATCTCCACGTGATGGCCCGGATCCAGGATCAGGAGCAGTGCCATCCGCTGATTATGATCAGGAATGCAATCAGGTCCTCCAGGCCCCGCACTGGGGCCGCGATGCTTAGTTTTCCCGTCGGGATCAGCTCTCAGACAACCGAGGCAAATAGGTCGAACACTCGACCCAAAACGACGCACATCGTCAGGCGAAGCGATGTGTTGATCGCAGTACTCGTCCTTGCATATGAGACACCTCACAAGTCCGTGTCTCCCCCCTCTTCCTCTGCATGCGCGGCATCTAGGAAACTGATCGCTGCACTTGAAACATGAGTTACAGTCATGGTCAAAGCAGTCTTCGCAGACTGACTTGCCGCAGCTTCGGCATGGATAGCGAGGTTCCCGATGCTGTGGATGCCCTGGCTCCTCATGAGCACACCTGGCCCGGTTATCAGGGGCAGCGCCGGCAGCCCGAGCAATGGCCCTCGCTCTAGAGGGATCCCTGCCGAAGATGGGGGCTGATGGTGATGGTGGGGGTGGCCCCGAAGGAGGTGGAGGTGGAGGAGGCCTCGCCGAGCTGACGGTGCGAGCATCACGAGGAGGAGAACCTCTAGGAGCCCTTCCCTGGGTTAAGGGATCTGTGTCTCCAGATTTCTCCCATGATCCCGTTCCGGCGGTCGAACCAGCGCCAGCACTTGAGGATCCGCAGGCAGCAAGAGGTTGCTCCCTCAATTCAGCGACCTGCATGTTGATCTCATTGACCCTCAGCACAAGCTTCATAAACTGCTCTTGCATGTCCCTCGGGTTGGGGCCTAAGCTTTTGTCATGAAGGTCCTTGACACATCTAGCAATGCGGGACAATTGAAGCTTGAATTCTTCCTGTTTCTGTGAGTTCTCATTGAGGGCTCCGGATACCTTATCACTGAACTGCTTCAGGTCGGTCGCAGGAACGAGATGCTGGATATACGTCTCGACGTTCCCACGGATGGTTCTTTCTCTTGAGATGGTTCCCTCAATGTCGATGACACTGCGAGAGTTCGCCTCAACTTCGTCTTTGATTTTCCGAACCTCAGCCTCAAGGGCCCCGATCTCAGAAAACCTAAGAAGCTGGACCTTGCGTTCTCAAGTGATTCGGCCTGCTCGCGAAGTTCAGCAGCGGATATGACGATCGAGTTAGATCTCTCATCATACATCTTGAAACGCTCATTCATCTCCTTCTCGCTTCGGGCAACCCACTCGTGGAAATCACGGAACTTAGCCTCGTGTTTTGAGAGAGTTCCGGCAACAGCAGAGAAGGATGATTCAACCTTCTTCTCGAAGGCGTCAACACGGTTATTGATCTTCTTGATCTCACCGACGCAAGCGTTGATATCATCCCTACATGAACGAATCTCAGCTCTGCATCCCTGGATTTCGGCCTTGCACCCCTTGACCTCGTTATGGATCGCGAGAAGCAGTCGTTGAAGCTCAGATGCAACAGGATGGCCGCCACTTGTGGAAGCAGACGGAGCAGGACGACTATCAGCGTCATGATCTCCGCGGCTATTCTCTTCCCTGTCGGGAGTGCAGCCCGGAGTTCCGATTTGAAAGAATGCGGGGACAACGGAGTCGTTGACCGGTTGATTCGAAGGAAGCCCTCCATATCCAGGGGCAACAGTGCTAAGACCAGGTCTCCGATTCCTAGGCGTAGAGTTAATCCCGTCATCAGTCTCCTTCTCAGACATCGGGGCGTTGGAGCTGAGCCCAGACCCCGCAGAGTGTATAGGAACGTCAATAGGATCGTGATGAGCTGGGGGATTAGATCGCAGTCGTAGAGCAGCTTCACGTCTCTCGGGTGACTCAGAGCTCCTCTTTGTGGCTCGTGAGTCAGTGCCGGTTTGTCCCGACACATTATCAAATGATGATGATCCGCGAAGTTGAGCTTGATCTGAATTAGGTTGAGTGAGATCAAGCCGTTGAGCAACGTCACCATTGAGTGGCTTAGGGGAAAGTACTTTGGCAACGCGGCTCGGCGGGAGCGATGTAGTTCGTCTCTCTGGTGTGACCTCGGCCTCATCGATTACATCAAGGATTCCAGGAATGGTTTCATCATCTTCATTTCCTCTCCTGGGTGGCTGATGGAAGGGGATGTCGAGGAGGTCAAATGGAGTAGAGCCAATACCAGGTGTATCCTGCTCGGATCCATCGCTGGTACGGTGGCTGGACTGCTCCTCGAGGTCGATGACGTCGGGGGCGGACTCTTTTCGAGTCTGACGCCGATTGAACGCCGCGAAGAGACCGGCATGGCTTCTTGACGAAGAGAAGGAAGGATTTGGGCCTGCTGTTTCGCGGCCCGCATCCGATCGACTAGTACCTGATGTCCGATTTGGCGGATTTGAGCCCGCGTTGTAGCGGTTCGCATCCCGACCTCGGGTACCTGAGGAAAGCGGTGGATTCGGACCAGCGTTGTAGCGGTCCGCATTCCGGTCGCGGGTACCTGACAGGTGAGATGATACTGCATCAGGGATGAAGTCCATATCCGCCGGACTGGGGTGATCGTGAATGATGTCAATGTCGGATGAACCTGAGACGGGAGGAGGGCCAGCTATTTGCGGCCAATCCTCAATCGCCCGTTTGCCCACCTCGGGTTGGGCCGAACCTGCAACATGAGAAGGGGAGAAATCTTCAACGGGGTCATTTTCTCCATCATGAGGAAAACCCTGAGTAGGCTCATGCGACGGCAGGGCATCAAAGGACCTGTCAATTCGGGAAGGCTGAGACCTCCAATCAGCATCAAAAAGGGATTGAAAATCCAGATTCCCAACCGAAACGGGGGCACCCGAGTTAAAGTCGAGCCGACCGAAATCAGGCGGTGTAGCCTGCGATCCACTGCCGAGGAGTTGGTCAAACTGATCCCATGTAAGGGACCATGATTGAGCCGGCTCCGGATGAGCAGCATGATGGATAGCCCGGTCCTCGATCTGGAGCGCCACGAACGGAACAGTAGGCGAAATCGATGAGGGCACCTGATTTGGAGGAACCTCAGCCTCTTCTAGAGGGGGTCCGTCCTCGATCTGGAGCACTGCCGCCGGGATAGGGGCCTCCGCATCCTCATCAAACACAACCTGAGAAAGGATCCAATCGTCCGTGATCACCCCGGGATTGGGCTCTGCGCCCACCATCGGGGGAATGGGCCACAGCCGGCTGTCTAAGCCGGGGGCAGCAGGCGCGGCGTTGCCGCGAAGGGCGTTGGCCTCGTCGTCCACGAAGCCCGGCCCACGATGAGAAGCTCCGGGGGACGCCATTGCTCGTACAAGTAGGCGATGGGAGCAGGTAGCGGGTCACGTCCCGCAACCGGGTCACCAGCCCCAGCTTCTAGCTGGTACGGCTGATAACCTGCGGTTTTGGGCGAACACGAAGTAGCCCAGGGAAGCAAATGAGCACAAAGTAGATCACGATGTACCCAAAGCACCCGGAAACACAACTCGGGTGAAGCTGTGGATGATGACCGGGTTGAGGAAGTGACGGTTGACAATGGAGAAGTATGGGGAGGTTAGAAATCAAGTTGAAGAGGATTAAGTTCAATACCAAGCCCAAGTAGAACAGCGCGACTCACCGAGCACCTCCTACACCCAGCCGCCCGCGGCCCCGACCCTTTTCGGCTCGAGGACGAAGAAAGCTGCCAGTGAATGGCGCACGAGCGTGAGTCCTATTCCCACTTGACGGGAGGTAAAAACTTGAGCCAAACGGCCGTTCGGCCGTTTTGACATATGAAGAAACAACACGTGAACAAAACACAAAACCAAAAGGGGAAGCAACACATATCCTTAAGCAACTAGAAGTCGCATAGAAATTCAAAAGGAACTATGGCCAATGTTGAGCGGTTCTCGAGAAAAAATGGACCTCTTTTTGGTTGGCATCGAAAGGGACATCTAAACGAAACGATGCCATTCTGGGGGACCGATTCTTATTTTGGGAAAAACTGTTCACCCCGGTGGGCGCATTGCTTTAAGGCTCGCAGCAAGCCATGGTGTTGTGGGAACCCCTGCTCAAGCAATCTTTTGACTGCAGTGGCTTCATGAAAGCACCACTAAACTAACTCAAAACCTCAAAGACCCTAATGAGAACTACCACTAAACCAACTCAAAAACATAGGTGTCCTTTTAGGGGAAATAGATGGCCCTGGTGGATGATTAAACCACCAGGTAAACCCTATGCTCAAAAACCTGAAGCCGAAGGAACCGGACGATTCGCTGGCCCCGCCCCCTGCCTGCACTGGGCTCAGCCCGGAATTGCGCGGGCTGAGCGCCCACGCCGCGGCCGCGGCCGCTTGCGCCAGCGCGGGCGGCTCAGCGACTTCGGCCAAAGGGCCTGGGGTGGATCGTCGATTTGGGCGTTGCTGGGTTGCAACGACCTCTGCAAAAAGTGGACCACTTCTTGTGGGTTTAGTGGAAACCCCAACTTGATTTCAACCAAAGTGGGTTTAGTGGAAACTTCAACTTGATTTCAACCAACAAGTTAAAGTCTAAAGATAACCCAATAGCAGCCAAGGTTGGTACCGTTTTCGGTCGGTCTAAGACGAAACCAAAAGGAAAGCCCTTGGCATCCCTTGGGGCTCGTCATTCTTTGGAGCGGACCCGTTCCCCTCTTTCTGTGGTTGCTTTTAAAGGGAAGCCAAGAAGAAAACCCATCAGCGTTTGTGCGTGTGTGGGTTATTTTTTTTGGGTGGGGGGGGGCTTAAAAAAGGCACACCAGATCGCTTTATTTAAGCTTCCCTCTAGTTGGTGGTTTGGATTGATGGTTTGGAGGTATTCCTGGGTGGGTTCCCATCTGCAACCAAAGTGAGGCTAGCCCATTGTGGGGTTGCGTTCAATGGAAACCAATGGGGAGCCGGTCCCTGGGGCAAATCGCCAGTGGGCAAGTCGATTCAGACGCCACACCTATCCGCCCTTCGGCACAAAGCTGGCGTTCTCAGTTCTTGGATGCCTTCAGCCTTCACAAATCCTGTGAAAGGAAGCTTTCTCAGCACATCTGGCACGGCTGCATGGGAGTGAATGGCCGTTCTCACACTGAGACCTCAGCACCAAACGCATTTGAAGTCCAAAGAGGAAAAGCTACGCCATCCAAAGGGCAAAAGCAATTGACAACACCCGCCCCCGATTTCGATAATACAAACGGCGAGTTGTTGCATTCAGCTCCACTAAACCAACTGCAAGCATTCAGTGCACCTGGGCCCTGAACACTTTCCTTCCTGTGACGCCATTGTATCCTGAAGTTAGCACGCCTGAACAGCACAGATCCCAGCATCGCAAAAAAATGACTGAACCGTCGCAACAACTTGCCCGTGACACTGGAGAGACCCAACTAGCGCGAGATTATGTCCATCACTATGGTTTGCCCAGTGGAGCTTCCGAAAAGAGGGCCTCCTAACATGCGGCGGGGGGCGGGGGAGATTGCCAACCATAGAGACCATGCCTCATGTGGACATATTTGCATCGGCTTGTGAATGTGACCTTTACCTTTCTTTTGCTATCCAAACATGTAGTCTTTTCCACTTGCTAGTTACTTCCCAGCAGGGAATCAGAAGTGGCTTTGGGCATGAATTCAGGGATCCCCTCAAAGGAAAATACAAGGGGATGCTTCATTGAGGTCACTTCTCCTTTCCCTGAGAACCAGCAAGCCTAGGTTTGTCCTGCAAGCGGGAAAAACCCTGGAAAGTCTCTTAAGTAGGGCTTCCCCTGCATATCATCCATTTCAATGTCTCAAAATGGAACTTTCTTTCCGAGCTCCCTTGAATACCAACAGACAGCATCAAAAATGCACCCTCTGCTAGGGTAAACTGCTGCCTGGTCTAACTGAGGCCCCAAAACTAGGTGAGGGCTGCTGTCGCAGCAGCCAAGCAAGGCGCTGTCAGACATCTGCGATCGCATGAAAGAATGCCCTGCCAAGAACTGCCCAGTCGCCCTGTGACCTTGGACAAAAGCTACATGACACCTTTTTTGGGGCTGGACCATCTTCAGTGAGGAATCCATCAAGCAAAAAGTCGGATGAGGGTGGAATCCACGAATTCTGGCCGGCTTTCACCTGTTCCAAACTGGTCTGGGAACTGGGCCCTCAGATCCCCTGCGAGTTGTCCTTTTCGTGGGTTAAATTTTCGGAAACTACCACTCCTAGAAAACCGGACGATGTGCTGGGAACCGCAACAAGTCCCCTGGTGGTCGATCAGAAATTTCGGGTAATGTTGACCCCACAAAAAGATCAACTCCAGTTTATTCATAGGGGGTGGGGGCCCCTCCAAAGGTGATGATTTTTCACTAAACCCAGAAATGGACACCCCCCTACAAGTCCACCAGGGGTGTAGTACTCCGGGGTTCACATTTTCCCTCAGCCCCGAAGGCTTGAAGCTGAGGCAGGTCGCTTGTGGGCTCCGAGAGCAGTGAGCTTCGGCACGGGGACCGCGCCGACGGCGGGGACCGCTCTTCGGGCTCGTCGCGTTTTGCGCGAGCCTCACGTCTTCCAATTTGTTTGACATGTTGGCAAGGAACTGATCAGCTTCCCCTGCGCCCCAGAGCGGCGATTTTTTCAGGGAAATTCGGGGGGTACACAAGTCCCAGTGGATCCCCACTTACCACTATGACAGCTACTAGGTCCTCCAGTAGAGAGGTTAGAACAAGGGTACCAACTTTTTTCTGGTAGGGGAACCCTCCCCCAAAAATTGGTAAAAGGGCACTACTAAAGGACTCAGGAGCTGTTCAGCTTCCCATGAGATTTTGGTCTGCACACTCACTCAGGGCGGGCCCACTCCTCCCATGGAATTGGGGTGGGGTTTGAGCGGGCCCTTTTCCGCTTCTCCAAGCAGGTCCCTGAAAGAAGCAGCCGACCGGCGTGGCCTCATGCAGATTCTTCTTGCCGACGCAAACATCTGCACTGCCATTCTTGCGGGTGGGAACCCCTACAGTGGATGGACGAAATCCATTTCGCACCACCTAAGAAACCCTGAAATGATGTTTCCCTTGCAAATGCCAACCAACAGCGGTTTCCTCACAGGATTTCGTTCATCCACAGTATGTTTTTTTCACTGGGTGTGGGTCAAGAAGCTAAGAAGCTCTGGAATGGCCCCCCTGTAAATACCAACAATGGTTTGCCAAGGTTTCAAAGTGGTGCGAAATGGATTTCGCAACCATCCACAGTACCAAGCCACCAACCTCTGGCCGCCTCCCTGAAGTCACGTTGGCAAATGCGCAACCCCCACCCCCCGCCCCCCATCACATCCCACCCCAAAAAACAAAAAACAAAAAACCATCAACAAGCTTAAAACCAAAACAAAAACGCCCAACAAATCGAAAACGCACACAAATCCTCCCACCCTGCCCCTGGAACCACCGGCCCCTTGAAGGAAATTTTCGCGGCCCTTCCGTTTCCCCCCGGCGACTCGCTCGCTCCGCCGAGGCGCGCTGGGCACGGAGCCGTTGAGCCCGGGGGACGCCAGGCCCGGCAGCGCCGAGGAGCTCGTCTTCGGTCTGCGGGGCGACGCGGAGGCCGCGGGCACCTGGCGAAGCCGACGACCCTCCCCGAAGTCCATCTTTGGACACGCGGGCCCGAAGTGAGGTTTAGTATCCAAGAGCTCATCACTAGTGCAAAGGAAGATATGAGAAACCGTAAAGGGTCCTTCCATGTCCGTCTTCGCCTGGAAAGCATAGGTGTCCCTTTAGGGGAAATAGACGGCGGTAGATGGTCAAAATCTGTGGGTGTTAACAGAAAACCAATGGAAAATGTGGCCATGCGTAAAACCCAAAGCCCGTACCCCCAGTGAACATCCCAATCCCCACTACAGTAGGTTCTACAATGGGTGGTGAATTCACCCAACCCAAAATGGTACCATTGGTTTTGACCCACAGCCAAATCCGACAACCGTTCCTTTCATTTCCGCATTCGCCTGGAAAGAATGAGAAAATCTGTCCACTAGTGATAGGTTCCCTTTAAAACCGACAGGGGAAAAATAAGCATTTTTCTTAAGCAAATGGAAGTTTCAGGATTCCCGGTATTTCCCTCTTACCTTACTTAGCTGCTCACAAAAATAACACTCTGGCAAATGCAAAAATCAATGCCTGCGTAATTCTAGCTCTTCAATTTTGTGCCGCACGCACTTGCCCAAAAGACCCAGAAATACAAGATTCTCACCTTTTGTGGCCTACAACAAACCAAAGCAACCGACCCATTCCCCCCAAGAGTAAACTCGTCTAACAACGGCCTCAAGAAAGGTCAAGATGAGAAATGTAGACGGGTGTCTTTAATCAGGGTTGGGCAAGACGTCAGCTTCCCTGATTGGCCAACTGGGCTTGCTAGATGTTTGTCGCACGAAAACCGGGGACAGTCAGGTTGCATGTTGACAAGTTTTAGGATGATGAGGCCACCTCTGAAGCACCGCGAAATCGATCCAGGGAGGAGTGGAGCCTCCACAATTTGCTTGTCAGCCTGCTTGCTGCAAAACAACGCCTCACCCATAGGGCAACTGGATCTGCGGCAATCTGGAGGCAAAGGAGCAACTAGCAACCATCCTGCTTTCAGCAAAGCAACATAAAAAAAAGCAACCAAAAAACCAAACAACCAAAGACGAACACGGACAAAAACGACCGTTGAAAGGAAAACCAAAACAACCCCAACCATTCTTGAGAAGGAAGCTGACAAAAGGACGTGGGCTCAAACGGTTTTCAAGTAGCTAAACCTCCCCTCGCCCCTCGGGTGGTTCCATTGAACACGTCCCGTCTTGCAAAAAGATGTCATGGGGCTTGGGATGACATGTCTGTTTGCATTGGTCTTTACATTGTGCAGTCAGTGAACTACTTGAGGGGGGGCCATATCTGAGCCCTAGATTACTTTGACGGCTTCCTCTTTTCAGCTTTGAGATGTTAGACCAAGTTGGCTAGGATCATAGAAGAGGGGCAACGAGATCAAAAAGAATCCACCCACCTCCACAGCACAGCCACCCACGGACCCCCCACCCCCACCCCCACCCCCAGCCACCACCACCGCCGGTCGCCTCAGGCAGCGTGAAGCGGCTCGGGCTCCCAGGCGCGGGATCCAAGGGCAAGGGCCGCATCCGCCCGACCTCCTGGGCTTCCTTCGGGCGGCCAGAAGAAACCACGGCCGGAAGGAGCGAGGCTCAGAGGTCTAGGTTTTCCAGTGGAGAGGTTAGAATAAGTTGGTACCCCCAAAAAAGGGGTTGAAAGGGTACTACGGGGACCGGACACTCGTGCGTTTTTTCACGTGTGCCCTGTGCGCCCTCCCACAGCACTGATTGAATCCGAACATGCTGACCCTCTGATGAACAAATACCTTTAGTAAAGTTAGGGATGACTCAAGGGATAAACTTGTCCTGAATGTGGTTCGTCGCCATCGACCTTTCAACTTAAGGCACCTCAAGATTAACATGCGGCCAGCGTCTGAAAATGGCTTCCAGCCTTTGACAGACCGAGGAGAAACAACCCTTCAAAATTGACAAGGCCAATGGCCCCCAATGTGAATCGGGGATCCGGATTGCGATGCAACTGCGATGCCTTTCACCTGGCCTGTGAGACCGATGGCCAATCCCAAGCTTTTGAGAAGGCTGGGCTCTGCCACAACTGAACCTGCTCCCACCCTTCCGGAAGCCGGCTCCTGTCGTTGAGCCGGCTGGACAGGCCAAACATCTTGTCCCGCATGGTTTGCGCCAGCCCAAGTAGCACGCCGCTGGTGTAGATCCGCCAGTTGCGCATTGGCTGGCGCTTGCGCGTCCCATCCGAGCTCCTGACGAGCAAGCGGCTGCCAGGCATCAGCGGCCGCACCGTTCTCTGAGTCCGAGTCCGCTTGCCAGTGCTGCATGCTAACCCGTGGCCAGGCATCTGGCTCCTTGTAAGTGGCCAAATGCCGCCAACTAGCTGGCTCTTGGTGCACAGGCGGCTGCTGCTGCTGCCGCTGCTGCTCCTGTTGCTGCTGCTGTTGCTGCTGCTCCTGTTGCTGCTGCTGTTGCTGCTGCTGCACGGGGTCTTGGCCAACGCTGGCCGGGTGCCAGCGATTTTGCCATCCACTCTGCCGCCATCTGCTCTCCCGAACGCTCCAGCCACTCTGCTGGCAACTGGCTGGCTGCCAGCCATCTTCGTGCCTCGCAGAAAGCCAGCCAACTGGCTCTGGTCGCGATCCTGCCTGCGAAAGTCAGCGGATGGCCCCCAGCCGAATGAAAGTTCAATTCGTGACAGAAATGGCTGGTTGTTGCCTACAGAAGCGCAAACAAAGCATAATCCCGCTGCCCTTTGAGAGAAAACCCCGGTTGCCAAGGTCAAAACTCCTTGTGTGATGGTTGTGTTTGCATTTAGGGGCACATTTGCAAACTGTAAGGGCATGTTTCGACCACGGCACACCCAAGTTTAAGGCCACCAAACAAACTACCTAAACCGCAAGAACCCTAAGGCTAAACCCTCAATCTACACCATAAACCTAACCCCAAACCCCGCGCCAAGAAAAGCTTTGTGGGGCGCAACGCATGGCTTGATGGGTGTGAACGGCAAAGGTTGGTTTATGCGGGCTCAATATTGCTGAGCAATCCAGTCTCAATTCCCAGGTGCTCAATTCCCAGGTGGCAAAAAAAAAGGTGTTACCCCTAAAATGGTCCAAGCCCACCAAGTGGCTCAAGTTCATGACTTCGGGGAGTCAGCAGTCGAGCCATTTGAGTCATAATCCAAACCTGACACAAAATGGGCTACCCGAATTCTGGAAATTGCAAGGCGGCACCTATTTCTGGCTGGGATCATCCCCTTCCAGCCCTCCACCCGCTTCCGTTTGCGCTTAAAAGCCCTGGAAAAAATAAACACATATCTCCAGTAGTGGTAGGTTCCCTCTAAAACCAACAAGGGAAAACGTAACGTAGGTCCTCCAGTAGGGGAACCCTCCCCCAAAAAAAGTTGGTAGCAGGGTGCCACTGGGGGAACTAGGTATTCTTAAGCAAACGCGTCCTTTTAGGGGAAACAGACGGCCCTGGTAAACGATTAAACCACCAGATAAGCTAGGAATCGCCATTCGAGCAAGACAGCCAAAAAGGACACCTATGAGAACGCAGTAGGGGGACCCTCCCCCCAAAAAGTTGGAAAAAGGGTACTGAGACACCCAGGTAGTAAGCAACTTCGGAAGCTTGCGACTCCTTTGGCGCTCGGCTCGCGCCCCTTTTGGCTCCTGCGGCGTGGAGTTCCGCGGCGTGGAGGCCTCGCCCTCCTCCGCGCTGGCCTCCGCCGCCGCGTCGGAGGCGCGCGAGCTGGGCGCGCTGGGCCTCCGGGGAGCTCGGGCGAGCGAGCGAGGCGAGCTGAAGCGAGCGAGGCGAGCTGAAGCGGCGGGGTGGGACCTTTGTCTCTTTTTTGGTGTGTGTGTGTGTGTTGTTGTTGTTTTTGTTTTTTTGAGGGGGGGGGGGGGAAGGGGGGCGTGCCACTATACGTCGTGGGCGGGTGGAACTTGTTCGAAGCGCTGGAACAGAAATGGGCGCGAAGACCCGAATTTGGCACAAATGGCTGAAGTCGTGGAAGAGGGAACAGAAAGGGACGCGAAGACCCGATTTTGCATTGGTCAGGACACACACACAGACACACACGAGCTTGTCTGTGAACTTGTTGTGGGGAACCGTCTTTCTCGCCCGGTTTTACCGCGAAACCACTCAGCAGCCAGGGCACTCGCTCTGGTCCAACTCCTCCGCAAAGGACACCAACCTGAGAAGAAAACCACCGGCAGATTGGGTGTCTCTTTGTTCAGGGTACCCTTTTTGGGGTTGGTTGAAGGGAAAGCCACGTTTTGTTTGGGGGGTTCCAAAGGAATAACCTCACCCGTTTGGAGCCAAATGAGCTGGGATGGCTTCCCTTTGAAGAGCCAGGGGTTCAAATCCAAGTCCAAGCCAAGCCGAACCAACTAAGGGTTCCCAAAACCTTTTCTTTTTTCCTTTCCTTTTTGGGGGGGGAGGGGGGGGGGGGGGCGAGAGTTCTGCTGCCCGGTTTGCTGCTTGCCACCTTGGCTTCCGAAATCGTGTCGTGAACAACTACTTCACTACTCTTACCCCCGAACTCACATTTTTCGAGGCCCTGCCCTGCTCGGTTCTTCTTGGGACCCCTCCCGGACTCCAAACCACTTCTTCTTTGTTGTGTGTGTGACACCATGGCTTCAGCACCGAGCTGCTCCGCCAGACCCGGGCGCGCCAGGGACGCCGGCGACGACGCGGCCGGAGCGGACGCCGCGGGCGCCGCGGACGCGGCCGCCGCGGACGTTCGGGGAAGGGGCGGCCGAAGGCGGAAGCTGCGCTGCAGGAGCTGCTCCTCGTTGTCGGTGTTGATCTCCTCGCAGCCTGGAACCCAACACTTCCTGGCCCCTGTGAAAAAGGTTGCGAAATCAACAAACAATGGCTTCAACCATGGCTTCATTTCGTGGTGCGAGAAGCGGATTTCGATTTCAACCATCCACAGCATGATGACAGAAGCATTTTGTAACCCCAACTTCGCACCACTGTGAAACCATAGGAAACCATTATCACGATTCCCGGGCTCAGGTGGTCCAGGAGTTCGTCCATCCACAGTAAGGCCCCTAAGGTTACGGAAGGAAATGAGGCGTATACAATTGCCAGATTGTTCATGAAATTAATGTGATGCTCAAGGCATGCCTAAGATCTTTAAGCGCCCTTTGCAAGTCAGGTTTGAGCAGTGGTTTCTCCTGGTCGCGCTTGGGGCAGGGATGCTGAAGGATTCCCTTGGCCAGTTGCCCTCTGCCGGGAAATATCCACCATTCATGAACCGTTGGTTGAGTTGAAGAAGGCTTTCCTACATGCTTTAGTCTATGTCTACAAAGTCAACAGTAGTCCTGGCATTCATGCCCCAAATTCCTGTACATCAACATCCCGGCACATCTGCTGAAGGATTGTCAGCACTACCGTCTTACGAGGTCCGGGTTGCATCGTTGTCTGGCAAGATCAGGGCTTATGTCTTCCTTTTGGTCATCATCCATGATAGGATGGATGAAAATTGACATACATCCCACCCACAAGGCCCGCTGAGGAACAAAGCCCAAACCAGGGTCTACCTACGCAGACTTGACGCGTGGGACCCGAGGGTAACGAGCCTGAAGCACATCATTTCTGTGGCCAACCGCGAGCTCCCTCGATTGGCCAGCCGACTCCAATTGAGCGACGGTTGAAACAAAACTGGGCTGTCCTCACATCCACTGCTAAAAGCATATAGCTTGAAGTGGCCCAAATGCAAACCCAACCAACACAATCTAAACATCTAAAACCGGGGACGGCTGGGAACCAGCAAGAAAATGGGTGCCTTCACTGGGATTCTAAGTGAGCAAGCCTGGTTTCTTAGTAGCGTGCAGCGGGCCCCATATGCCAACCCCTTTGCTTGCTGTTTCTCAGCAGGCAACTTCAAATCACGCCTATACAATCCCCTATGGCTTCCTTTAAGGGAATCTTGGAATCCCCTTCCGGTTCTTTCCCAACACCCGCAACGTCATTCCCTACCTATCGCACCAGCAAGTTTTGTAGATGTTCGTTTTAGCCTTGCCCTGGACATGCGCAACAGGGTAGGATACGGCACCTCACTTCCTGCGTGTTTTCTTTCATAAGGCCGACCTTTCTTTGGAGAGCTGTTCAGTTGCTTTTGTTTCAAAAGACTCACCTTTATTCGGAGAACAGTCTCATGTTCTTTTGAAGCACTGGTCAAAACAGGTGGGGTTGATGGCCGTGGTGTGAGACGATGGGGCAACATGCATCTTGTGGATCTGCTTTGGTGAGTTGCGTGGGTCCGGCATGTGTGTCTCACTTCCTGAGTTCCTGAGCTCCTGGGCTTGAAACTTTTTGGGGTTGGACCATTTTGGTGGGTGAAATGTGATGAATAAGACTGAGACACCTTTCCAAATACAGGTCAACTGATTAAACAACAAGTTTCATAAGGTCTACCCAAGACCCCGCGAAACCGAAGCTCCGGAACACTCCCTGAATGCTGCCCCGGAACCATCCCAGAGCTTATTTGGGCAGAGACCATAGATTTTGAGCTGTTGCTCGGCTGTCCAAAGGATCTGTAAATCAAAGGCGATCACCTAACCCAAAAGGGGGCACAAGTCTAGGGGTACCTTCCCCATTCTTTCCAGGGCTCCTTCTTTTCAGGAAACCATCCAAAACCCAGGATAAAAAACAGATCCGGTTGAACAGAACCACGCTTGAAAAAAAAATGGACATGGGAAAATCACACCCCTAGAAGACACGCTTCTTTTGCCTGCCGGTCACAGAACAGCCCCGTTGCCCAAAACCCGCCCGAGACCCGAGAATTTCCGAGACCCCCCGAAGCCCCGAAGCCCCGAAGCCCCCCGAAGCCGAAGGCCGGAGGCCCGAAGCTTGAGAGGAGAGAAGCTGCTACCAACGTTTTGTCTATCTTCATCTGACTTGCTGAGTGGATGGCCCAAAAAAAGGTCCAAACTTTAGACTTACCACTCAAATGGTCCAACCCCAAAAAGTCTAAAGCTCATGAACTCAGGAAGCATGACTAGAGTTACTCAGTTGCCCCTTAGGGACCTGGAAGTAGAAGCTGATCGCTTTTTGGGTTGCCATGACTAGAAATGGAAACCGAAACCGGAAAACCAAAAGGTCAAAAGGTCGATTCGCTTTGGGCAAATGAGGTTCGGCCACCAGTTATAGAATGGAAACTTTTTTTATTTGTTTATTAGGTTTGCTTCACCTTGAGTCGCTATGCAAAATGTATCCTAAGTCTACCCCGGTCTTTAGGGGATCCCTCCCAACCCAACAAGAATGGGAGTGAGACAGGGCACCTAGGGGGACCTAGCAACTGTTCTTAGGTCTTGGTTCCATGTCAACGGCCTTCAGACTACGCCGACATGCATCCGCCACGAAGATGGAACCGGTCGCTTCTTTTCTGAAAGTTACCGACATGTGGTTTGCCAATGTGTTTCGTTCTTGCTGTTGTAGTTTTCATTGTTTTTTTTTTTGTGTGTTTTTTTTTGGGGGGGGGTCTACAAAATCTGACAAATGCCTATCCTAAGCATGATGGCAGTTTAGAATGATTGGTTTCTTTTCGGATTCCGCCCTCCGCAAAAAGGCAGCCCGAAAGGCTTAAACTCTCCCCAGCCTTTCCGCAGCAACTCCTGCTCGTTGTCGGTGTTCAGCTCCTCATCTTCCGCAAAGATCACCTGGCCAACCGAGGCCAAAGGTCTCGGGATTCCAATTCCTGTCTGTCCAACGGTCTGCTATGAAAGGCGAGGATTCAAACCTCCAGCCAATCCAAGCCAGACTGTGGAAAACTACTCGTCCGACTTGGGAGGCATCTGGAAAACGACTCATGGTTTGCACTCCGTGCATGCGGAGTGCAAACCATTGGTTTGGCCCACTAAAAACATCCCAAACCTATCACTTCTTGAAGGGGCCGTGGCTAGGAACTTCTGCCGTACTCCACTGGACGAGGCCTTAAAACCGCGACAAACAAACACCGTGGTTGCGAGCTGCACCCCGCCAGTTCCCCCACGGGTCGCTCTTACGGAGTGGGATTTGAAAACGGAAAGGACATCAGCTAAAATCAAAACCACTCGCAACAAACGAAACAAAACAACTCCCAACAAACGAACGAGACCGGCTTTTGACTTCACAGCCCCTCAACGTTAAACGCAAACAAGCAAACGCACCCCAGCCGGATGCCCAGCACCGGCTCCGCCTTGCCCCGGGACGCTGCCCGCAGCAGCACCGGCAGTGGCAGCATGGCCAAATCATGCGGGCGCCGGCCCAGGCGCGTTAGGGTGAAAAGTCGCCGCCGCCTTCTTTTTCCCGGCGGGGCACAAGAGAAATGCTGCGGCAACGGCTGATGAGTGACTTGGCCGTGGGTCAACATGCAAATCGTATTTCCAGTGAACATCCCAATCCCCATGCACTAAAATAGGCTAAAATGGGTGGTGCATCTACCCCAAAATGGTACCATTGGTTTGGACCCACAGCCATTTCCCCGTGCATCACCTCAAGTGGAAACTTGCTTCAGAGTGGCGACTACAAGGTGATGTTTGAACTGGCCAAACGGGAAAATATGGTTCTCTTTGTCAGTGTCCGACCCTTGCACCATGATGCACCCAAACTTTGCCTAGGTCCAAAACCATCTCAGTCAAGAAAGGCCCATCTTGCACACCCAAGAGCTCTATGCATGCTTTTGGGATGGTAAAGGAGTGCTCCGTTATCGAATTGACGCTCGACACAGCTCGTGCTCTAATCTCGGCCCCCCTTCAGGTGGCCGGCCAAAAAATCGATCGAACACACCGCGCCAAACTCAGAATGCTGCACGCGAGCGTGTCCAAAGTCCAAACCAAGTCTTGAGGTCCGCCCTGGGCTTCCAAAAAAAAGGTCACAGAATAGACCCTGAAAGGCAAGGGCCAGCCCCACTGGGCGGGGGGGGGGGGGGGTGCGCACGGCTTTTTTCCCCCGAGAATCGGCGGCGAGAACTCTCTCGGGTCTCACCGGCGGTTGCCAAAGAGCTCCAGAAGGAACAGGAAGAGCTGGATGATGTCAACGTAAATGTTGATGGCCTTAGCATGGACCAGGCATGAAAAACACCTGAACATTGCAATTTGTTCTCCGGTGGTTTCCATCTTCTTTTGGTGTTGAAAAACAACATGTTTCAAATGGGCAACATGTCCTGTGGACACCTCCGAGTTTCGCCAAAGGATTGCGATCCATGTGCCATCTGTTTGGTGGGGAGAAGCAAAAAGGGACACCCAATTCCTGCGATCCAGCTATCCGCCAGTTGGCCTTTGCACCCTTGACCTTTGGCCCCCACAAGGTGGAGGGCCCACCATTTTCCAGTGGAAGCTATAAGAGACGGGCTTGACGGTCCTCTCCTGAAAGCTGAGAACATGACCTGCTTCAAAGGAGAGCCGCCGAGAGGCCCCATACGTTAATTGCTAGAAGGTCTACGCAAGTGCAACCTTGTGTCACTTACCACCCCGAAGGGTCCAAGTACCTCCTGATGGCTGGGGGTCTTTGGCACCTGGAAATATGTTTTCGATGACCGTAGACCATGAGAAGCCTGTCGGTACCATCGTTTCAGAATCATCATACTAGACGGCTGCAAAGCCTTTCCGGACAAGGTTGAAGAGGCAAAAACCAGAAGACCTTCAAGAACCACGGCGCTAGACCTGGAAATCTGGGACCTCGGACCTGGGCCAAAGGGAGCCCCCACAGGTCACAGGCGGAATCGCCGGGGAACATTGATTGAAATAACATGTGGAACAAGAATCATGAAATGCAATGTCTGAACATTCATGTTTCACACATGCCAGGCAGTAGACTCTATTTCTCTTCTGCTCTGCTTCTTTTTTCTCTTTCTTCCATCTTTCTTTGTATTTGTATCCTTCTCCTTGTCTTTAGTTTGGCATGAAGCTACATACCACTTATGACAATCTCGAATGCAGGAAAAGTCACCTGAAGCCAATGGAAGCTTGGATGTTGGATTTGCTTCAGGACTTGAACGCCCCTTGTCGTTATCCAGCCAGGCTCAACGGACAACTGACCAGGTCCTGCACATTTCCGCAGATTCAGAGCCAAGGGGAGCCACAACGTGGATGGACGAAATCCTGCGTCATATAAGAAGCCCTGGAATTATTATTTCCATGTAAGTACCAACGAATGGTTTCCCATGGCTTTAATTAAAGTGGTCCGAAATGGATTTCGTCCATCCACAGTAGGAAGATCATCCGAAGCGGAAAAAGGCACCAAGAGTCGAACAGTCACCGCCAGTCTGCACACCGATAGCTTGGCCTCTTTTCGTGTTGCTCAAGGCAGTCAAATGCGCCCGCAGCGAATAAGAAGGGTTTGTCTTACAATGGGGGAACCCCAAATTTCTGGTTTCCCTCTCATGTTGCTCCTTCAAACCAACCCCGAAATCGGTACCCTCAAAGAATGACACGCAAACGGTAGTCTCATAAGAGACCCCTGGTACCTTTGCGCATCAAGCTTCCGCCATGCAGTAGTCGTCGATGGAGAACCTCCGGCTGTGAGCGACATAATAATCCGCTCGTGGCTTCATTCAAGGGAAGTCACAAATGATTGTTTACATCTGCTGGTCTAAACTACGCACTGACTCATACTACAGTAGATTCACCTCTGAAGTCATTGGCATTACGGCACATTGATGGCCTTCACAACTTTGTTTCCATGGACGGATCTCCAACAAGAAAAGTGCCATATAATTATGATGTGTGAACATGTCGAGTGCTTCACGTCTCCTAATTCTGAGTCTGGGGCATGCCAAGCCTGCACTAAGCTGGCTTCATCCCAAATCCTAGCACTGCATTCGTATGTTTCTTCATGGCCAGCACGCGGATTCGGCCATGTGAGGGCCACCATTGCGCTCCCACAATACAATAAAAAAGACGTGGTTACCCCAAAGGGCAGCTTACGTAATCTTGGACATGTCCCACCCTAAAACAGTATGTGTTTTGTTCAAACAAAAAAAGTTCAGGACCCCTAGTTTGGCAGTTTGGATTGGCGGTTTGGTTTCGTGATGTGATTTTCTGGTTCTTGTCGAGGGCAAAATGGGGCTTACCACCCCCGTTTCACCTCCAAACCAACGGGCTCCAAACCACCATGAGACAGGAGCACCTTGCGATGGTTTTCAGCCCAAACCGAGCCTTTTGGCGGTTTTGGTTGGATGCGAAGTGGGTCCTGCTGGGGATCTGGGGATCGCCCCAAACGGAACTACCAGGGAGCCGGGAGCTTCTCAAAAAATGCTAGAGGCTTGGTTTGCATTTAAAATCATTCAAAGGAAAAGCAACAGGAAACCTTTGCCATTTTAAGAGAGGAACCAATTTTCAGAAGCATCCAGCAAAGGGAAAATGGTCTGGAACCCCCCAGTCAGGTTCCATGTCATTTGTGCGTACTCCTGGGGCATTTTCCGGGTCTTCTTGTTTTTCGGAGCGGCATGCGTCTTGGGGACATCTAAAGGTGGGCATGCTTGTGGAAAGGGCCAAGAAGCCTGGACATGGTTCCTGAAAGGTGTCCCTATTTTTATGTACAGGGCCAACCGCAATCACATTGTGGATGGTTGCGTGGCTTCAACCAACCATGGTTTTCAAAGGTGTGAAATGGATTTCGCAACACAATACTAGCATCCCAAGGTCATGACTTAGTTGTGTTTCAAAGTACGGGCCGAATTCTGCTTTGGGCCCTTACCCCGAAAGGGAGTACCAGCAAGGGTGACCCGGACTCTCACTCAGGAGCCAAGGGAAAAGATCGAGTTGAGCTATGAAGGCTGGGCGGGGAGGGAGCCCAAATCAGGCCACATTCTGGAGATAACGATTTACCACATGCCTTTCAGAAAGAACATGTGAGGCCTCGTGCTCGCTTCGACAGGACCGGGACATATTTCATGCGATCACTTCTTGGAACTGGCCAAAACCCAAACAAGGCGTGGGCAACTGAGTGTAGGTACACAGGCCCGAACATCATGGCTCAAGCAAAGCACGAGACCTAGATTCAAATGTACCTACTGTTGATGATTGCGCAGTTTTGCACCACCTCAAAAGTCCTGGTTTCTGATGGTTCCCCTGTAAATACCAACGAACACTGGCTTCAACCATGGATTCATTTCGTGGTACGAGAAGCGGATTTCGATTTCAACCATCCACAGTATGGCTACATGGGTCAAGCTTCCGAAACTGATGTTGCCAGCTACGGAGGCCGTAAAAAGAATGTCTCAACTGATCACCAAAGCCAACTCGCCAACTCCACAAATAGTTTTAACCTTTTAAAAGGGTTAATGGAAAACTAAAAAACCAACAAGTTCAAGTCTAAAGATCCAACCCGATGGCAATCCTCAATATCTGGGCAAACCATGATACTCACCAACCGAAAATGTCCGGATCGGATCCTTTTCTGTAAGGGCTTCTTCATGGAAAACCGCGAATCCCCAAACCCAATCTGCCGGTCTCTCCCGATGGCCTGTGCTTGTTGTGCTTGCCACCGACGATGAGCTGCGTGTCTAGGATAATGTAGAAGGAGAAGATCAGGGCGCCAAGGCCGGCATAGACCAGGTTCCTGACGCCGCGGGTGCTCGGTTGACCCCGGATTAAAACCTCCTGCTATATGGGGGTGGGGGCCCCTCCAAAAGTGGTCTGAATCCCCACAAAACCAGGGACACCCCCATAGGAGCATAGGTGACCTGTTGAAGGAAATAGACTGGGGTGCGCCTGGCAAATGGATGGCATAAAATCAATCTAAACCTGTGAAACCCATCTGCTTCCAACCAAACTAACGAAAAGTTGACACCCATGGTTGACCCCAATGGCGGCAAGCCCTTTTTGTTCTCCCTTATCAACTCATAGCCCAGCCTTAGACTCGGTACTGTGACCTCACCAATGGTGTTCAGTTTGCCGCTCCTTAAAACACCAACCAACCAAGCAAGAGTGCCCTCGTACAACGCACGCATGGTTGCATAAGCGCCTCGTGTGTTTTTCGTGAAATCTTGCGTTGTTCCAAGAGACGTCAGTGCCTCAGTTGTGCCAAATGCATGTCCGTAAGTGATCTCCAAAATGTACAGGCGTGTCACTTCTCAAACGCAAAAAAAAAAAAACACCTCCAAAATTTATGGATTTCCTTTTGGTTTTCCTTTCCAGTGCCTTTTCTCCGCCTGGTTCCTACCGTTTTGACGCGAAACCCGGCGGCCATGCCCCCCCGAGAAACCCGAGCCCGAGGCGCAAGACTTTGAAAGCGCCGGAGCCTGCCGGCTAAGGCTTTTGCACGAGATGCGGCGAGCTTCTGCTCGGGTTCCTCAAAAATACTCAACACAACCAAGGGGAAGCAGCGAA